TGTGTGTTTTGTCCCCCCCCACCCCTCCCCATTTATCCTTATTCTCCTCCTTGAGTAGTTGAGATTTAAGAGCATTAGGCCACAATGGAAAGCAGTTACCAAGATGTCAGGACTTGTATCCATATCCTTACTTAGTTCCATCTGTTCTCCAGACCAATTATGGGATAACCACCTCCATTCCTGATGGCACGCCTTAGGATGTTAAAGACGCTATCTCAGAAACAGAGATGTCAGCCCTGGAACTAAGTCTCTTCTCATATAATAATGGACTCTGGCACTATCTTCTTTGTGTGATCTATAGAAAGAACGATGTCACTTGGTGGGCCTGGACATGAGCTATTTCCCCCAGAATGACTTGAATAGAACACTGTCAGTGTGATAATACCCATCTCTCCCCAGTAACAGCTCCAAAGATCTTCATACCCACACCTTGCTCAGGTTGTTCTGAGCAATGTAGACATATCGAGATCGACTGTATGTCTTGCAACCTAATTTGTCCTCAAGGGATCCTCTCACAAGCTCTAGGTTGAAATTAGTGAGTGAGACCAGTCAAATGGAATTCTACATAAACACTTAAATCCTGATTATTTAATTGGAAGGAAAGAAAGCCACTTCAGTTAAAAAATTTAAGTTTACTAGAGAAGAGAAAAAATTCCTTTGAATTTAAAAATAAAAATCAAGAGATATGCGAATTTGAAACTGAAATTCCATAATTCTGCTATTGTCATTAATGTCCTTTTTATTTCTTTTTTTTTTTTTATGAGTAGAGATTTAATCTTTAGAAAGTCCCATTCATCAATTTTATCCTCTCCAGATTGTGCATTTCTGTCTGTATTTGGTAGTTTTTATACCGTAGGCTAAGCCTTCTAAGATTGGTCCCAGTTTGTCTTTGATGAACTTTATGATTTTGAACTTTATTTACTCTCAGTTCTCTGATCCACCTTTAGTTGATTTTGTCCTTTTTATTTCTAATTCTATTCTAAATATAGGAAGCTCTGGTGGCCTAGTGGCAAGAAACTGTGCTGCGATCCCTAAGGCACATGGTTCAAGGTCACCAGCTGCTCTGAGGGAGAAGGATGGACAATCTCCTCCTGTATAATTAACTACCTCTGAAAAGTCACCAGAAAGTCAGTTCTTACTCTGTGGTACACAACAACATTATACATATTAGTAGGAAACTGCAAAGGCAGCATTAGATCTCCAGGCCAATCCAGAGCAACTCTTTAGTATTAGGGAGGGACTGTGAAAGAGCTCCTACCCTTGGTTATACAAGGCATTCATATACAAGGAGCTAATAATTCCAAGTAGAGACAATTTCCTTGGGAAGTGTCCTTTAACACGTTTGTAGAAAAAAATTATTTGAGTACACCTTAGTCTCTAGATTGACCTCATTGTTCTTCATTGCCCTGGAGAGGTCTCTGGCAGAAGATTTTCCCATTCATCTTTTGATCTTTGATGGTATCTTTTTTTCAGACAGTCCTCCTTTGATTCTTTATTTTGATTGCTGATGGTACCAAGAATGTTGATTGTGGAGCCAAGCAAGCTGAAGCTGTTAACAATCTTAATCTCTTCACCATCTATCATGATGCTACCAATTGGCCCAGTGTTTGTTTTCTTGATGTTGTTGATGTTGAGTTTCAATCCATATTGAAGGCTACAGTCCTTGACCTTCTATAGAAATGCCTCAAGTCCTTCTGAGTTTCAGGAAACAAGGTTGTGTCATCTGCCTAATACAGGTTATTGATGAGCCTTCTTTAAATCCTGATGCCACATTCCTCCTCTTAAAGTCCAGCCTCCCAAAAGATCTGTTCCATATAGATTGAAAACGTACAGAGATAGGATGCATCCCTGTTGTACACCTTTCCTGATATGCCATGTTTCCTTGTTCTGTTCTGATGTCTGTCTCCTGGTCTAAGTTTAGGTTTTGAATTAGCACGATCAAGTGTTCTGAGATTCCCATTCTTCTCAAAGTTAGCTACAGTGTGTTGTGTTCCACATAGGAATGTAAAATGGTACAGTCACTATAAAAAGTGGTCTGGTGCTTTCTTAAAGAGTTAGCATTTGATGTAGCTATGTTACTACTGGGAAAATATCCTAAAGAAAACAGAGCTATGACACAAATAGATGTATCAACATCTACGTTTATTGCTCTGTTATTCACAATAGTGAAGAGATGGAAGCAAGACAATTACCCACCAACAAATGAATGGATAGAAAAACTGTGGTACATTCTACAATGAAATATTATGCAGCACTTAAAAACAACGAACTTGTAAAATACTACACAAAATGAGTGATCTTGGGAGACATGGTGAGTTAACGATCTCAGGCACAAAAGAACAAATACTGCATAATACCACTTTTATGAAATAGGATTGACAGAGGTATTGGGGGGAGAATAGAAAGAGAGTAGATAATGAACACTGTACTAAAATCGATGAAAAGGAGGGCTGTCTGGAAAAAAAAAGATATTTACATTTATCTGTCCTCACCAATCAACAATGGTTTGATTGGGTGTTTTAATCAAGCCATTGTCCAGAGAGAATAATAATAAAAACTAGGGCCAAAAATTAAACACAAGCATCTCTCCTGGTCATGAAGGGCAGCAGCTCAACACTTTAACAAATCCCTCTGATAGTTGGATTCCCAGAGCTCCAGAAAATCTGCCTTCAAAGTAGTGCACATCTTTATAAAAGAGGCAGAGAATAGTGAGCACAATCAAAGAAATAGAAGGACCTATAGAAAAGGAAAAACAGATTTAGAATTTATAATAATCCTGTCAAAATGCTGTCTCTTAGGCTGTATCGTTAAAAGAGGTGAGTGAAAATAATAAAGCAAATGAAGTTTAATACACTGAGGGTGGTATTTTAAGTAATTTTGTGTTGTCTAAAAAGAAAAGACTAGGACTGTTTCCTTGTCCTTTTATTACTTAATTTTTCTAAGGAGAAAATTAGTGGCAAACTAAAGATTAATTGATAAAACAAATCATTGTCTAGCGTAAAACAAAAGTAAATACAATTATTCTCTTTCAAAGATTTTAAATTACTGAGTAATCATATAATTTCAGAGTAATATGACCCTTTAAATAATCTTATATCATGTACCCTGATATCCTGATATATTTGTATGCTCCTAATATGCTTTTGTATAACCTATTGTTAATTTTCAAACAGAAATAATAAAATATCAGTGCTAACTGTGATTTTCTTTTTGTTTTCCTCATACTTAAAGAACATCTGGAACCTTTCTGAATTGAGTAAATGGATCTGAAAAATGAGTCTGTGGTGGCTGAATTTATTTTACTAGGTTTTTCTGGACCATGGGAACTTCAGATTTTCTTGTTTGTGACATTTTCCTTGATCTATGGTGGTACTCTTTTGGGAAACATCCTCATTATGGTCACAGTGACATTTAGTTCCTCCCTTCATTCTCCCATGTACTTCCTGCTTGGAAACCTCTCTTTTGTGGACATGTGTCTCTCCACTGTCACCACACCCAAAATGATCACTGATTTGCTTACTGAACACAAGAGTATTTCTTTGTGGGGCTGCATGGCCCAGATGTTCTTTATGCATCTTTTTGGAGGTGCTGAGATGACTCTCCTGATAGCCATGGCCTTTGACAGGTATGTAGCCATTTGTAAACCCCTGCATTACAGGACAATAATGAGTCACAGGCTGCTGAGTGGGTTTATGATACTATCATGGATAATTGGTTTTATACATACCATGAGCCAGATGGTATTAACAATGAACTTGCCTTTCTGTAACCATAATGTGGTAGACAACCTGTTTTGTGATCTTCCCCTTGTGATCAAGCTTGCTTGTGCAGAAACATATACACTGGAATTGTTTGTCATTGCTGACAGTGGTCTGCTCTCATTTATCTGTTTTATCCTCCTGCTTCTCTCCTACACTGTCATCTTGATCACAGTAAGACGGAGGTCATCTGGAGGACTCTCCAAGGCTTTATCTACTTTGTCTGCTCACATCATTGTTGTCACCATGTTCTTTGGACCTTGTATATTTATCTATGCCTGGCCATTCAGTAATTTTGCAAGAAATAAAATCCTTGCTGTATTTTACACCGTGATCACACCCTTACTGAATCCTCTTATTTACACTTTGAGAAACCAGAAAATGCAAGAGGCCATGAAAAAATTAAGAACTCAACATGTTGGTTCCACATAAATCTTCTTGACTTCAACCCTGTATAATAAAGAAAACTCAAAAGACTTTAAATAAATTACACATAAACCTGGTCTTTTCTAATGTTACAATCAAAATCAATGCATCAAATACATTATTATAAGTTAATATTTATTAGTGTTCTATAGCAAATACTATAGAAATAAATCAAACATACTACTAATCAATTCCAACTTATAGCAACCTTGTAGAATAGACATGCCCCTTAAATTTTCCAAAGTCTGTGAAAGCAGAATATCATATCATCCCTCTATGGAGAAACTACCATAATTGGACTGCTGACTGTTTTGTTGGTATTCTAGTGCTTTAACCAGTGTACTACAAGGTCTCCTATTTGAAACAAATATAAATACAGGACATATGTATTAATATTTATTAATGACAAATTGCATAAAAAATGCCTAAGAAGTTCATAGAAGGATAATTCAACTTGAATTACAAAAATCAATCTTGGCAGTTTATGTTCTAAAGATTATTAGAAGTTGTAAACCTCAAAATATAGAACCCAAAACATGTACCTTTATGTCATAAAACATGCAAATGTATTCTTTACCAAAGGTTTCTAGAATTTTTAATTTATATTTGTCTGTGATGGGTATATAATTTTTATAGCAATTATAAGTTAAATCTGATTTGTTTGTGTTTGTGTGTGTGATGCAGGGAGTCAGAGGCAAGTGCCTGCTATATTTGGAATGTACACTTTTTCATGGATAAACTTAAATATCCCCTCCCAATTCAAACCAGCAAGATTTCTTGCTTGTTCTCTGACAATAACTTTGTAACGGAATATAAATCACCACAAAAAAGTATTTTTTTCATTCAATGTTCTTGCTACAAACAACTAGAGTAATGTCACTAAAATGTAATTCCTATTGGTATTGCTTTTATGAAAACTATTTCATGGTGGTAAGAATGAGATTCAAATTCATAAATGATCTTCCTTTGCTCTATTCTGTTCTTTTTCAAAGTACCCCTGTCAGACTGACTTCAGAAGTTATTAGGCACCTTCTTACTTCATGGTTAAAATCTATTTGGAATGATATTCTAGCATAATTTCACACAGCTATGCCTTCTCAGAATGGGGGAGGGGAAAGAGAATTGCCATCAAGTTGATTTTGGTTGTGAACCAAAATGTTGAAAGTTTTCGTCCATTCAAAGGTGCCTCTGAAGAATAATCTCATGAAAAACCAAGCATTAAAAACAATCCTACTCTCAAATTGAAGACCTTGATTAAATATTACATTTTAGAACACCTTTTTTTAATGTCCCAATGAGTTTAGAGTTCTTTATTATACTTATTTATTGTTATCATGTGCTTTTGAGTCAGAACCAACTCAAAGCTGACCCTCTAATTGTTTGGGTTTTTTTGTATTTATTTAAGATGCTATAAATCATATGAGATGAGATTGTCCATTTAGTCCCCTTGAGCAGCTGGTAGAGTCAAGACATGTACTTTTGGACTGTGGCACCCTACTTATTTATAGCATGGTACAATTTCCATACACATTTGTTATGATTTTGTATCACTTTTGTAATTATGAATTGAATCTGTGTTGTTAGGCTATATGTTGCATATATCTCTAGCATTTGATACAAAGTTTGGCACATGGTAATTAAATCTCAACTTTGTCATACTTACTGAATGAAAAGGAAAAAATGAAACAGCTGTATTTATTCTAATAGAATAGTGTTCAGTATTCATTTTTGATCAACTAAGATGCACATAAACACCAATTATAAGATAATATCCACTAAACAAATTGCAACTACACAAGGGCATATGGTACTCATATTTTATTAAGTAAATTACAAGGATTAGAATTCAGGCATTAAATATCAAACTAGAATGGGATATATATATATATACACACACACACATATATATGTGCCATACACACACATATATATATATATGGCAAACAGAAAAGGAGACTTATAACAAGATTAAAATATTTGCTATTAAAAATTATACTGGGCTCTCTTTATATTATTAGTATTAATTGCTATTGAATCAGCATCAAGCCCACTGACCTGCAAGCAAGTATTCAGAGGCTATAAATTGTGTAAGAGGTGATTGTCCATCATTCTCCCTCAAAGCAGTTGATGGGTTTGAACTGCTGGCCTTTGGATTTATAGTACAACTCTTTATTTATTAGGCTGCTGGAGAATAAAAAGCTTATATTGTACAATGCCTCATCAAAACTTCTTACTCATTCATAGGAGACTATATGTATATGCATCCAGTGATAGATTAGTTATAGTCCAGTTAATAAAAGCATTGTGGGTGACTTTTGCATCTCACAGAATAGCAAAAGGGAGATCTTAAAATATCTGTGTTAGTGAAACTTCTAAAGTAAGTCTTTAAAATAATTTTTAAATAAGCTAAAGATATTAAAAAATAATAGAAAGTCATATTTTAGACTCACTGTAAAGTCTGAATTCCATTCAGACCCATTGTAAAAATATCTAAAAAATGTCTTTGCTTATAGTTCCTAAGACAGAACTGTGAAAGTGGAAAAGGCAGTATGAAGTGAACTTTGACAATGAACATGGAGAAAAACTGACTGGAGCCCATGTCTAGGGTTCAGAACCTGAAAAGAAAGTCTGACTACTAAAAACAGATAGCAGAGAAAATGTCCACTTCAAAGGCAATGCTTCTGTAAAAAGAGTTCTGACTGGTTAACATTTGTGATCAAGGTGAAAACTATTTTTAGTTATTGCTTAGTTTTATGGTTAGGTACTTGGAAGAAGTAAAACATAAATCTTATCTGGGAGAAAAACACTCTTATAACTCAAGTCACTGAAGTCTCACAAGATTGTTTTAGCAACAAGCAGTCACAAGATACAAAATAAAACTGTCAGTATAAATTAGTATTAGCAAGAAAAGAGGAGTATTACCAATAGTACATATTTGGGATTATTGGATATAGAATATGAAATTTGTACATATGCTTCAAGAAACTAAAAGATGAATCAAAGGTGAAACATTAAAAAACACTGTAAAATTAAAATTATATTTTAGAGAAAAAGAACACCAAGTGGAAACGATAAATGATATATACAAAATGTTGTTGCTTTTGATGTTAAGTGCCATTGAGTCGCAGGCAACTCATAGCGACCCTATGTACAACTCCGTAAACTATGTTCTGTCCTGTGCCAATCTTATTGTCTCTGACACTCATCCCAATTACCCCAGTCACTGAATCAATCCATCTTGTAGAGGGCCTTCCCCTCCTGCGCCTGCCCTCCACCCTCCCAAGCATGATGTCCTTCTCCAAGGACCAGTCTCTCCTTGCAACATGACCAAAGTATGTCAAAGCCTCAGAATTCTTGACTCCAAGGAGCAGGTGGGCTTAACCCTCTGGAAAATGAATCTGTTTGTTTTCTTAGCTCTACCCTCAACACCAAAGCTCAAAGGCATCAATTCTCCTTCTATCATCCCTCTTCATTGTCCAACTCTCTGATGCATAACAAGTGATTGCAAAGACCATGGCCTATATCAAACGTACCTTAGTCTCCAGAGACACACCGTTGCTCTTCAGTACTTTAGAAAGGTCCCTAACGGCAGATTTTCCCATCACAATATGTCTTTTCATTTCCTGGCTACTGGTGCCAAGAGTGTTGACTATGGAGCCAAGCAGACTAAAGCTGTGAACAATCTCAATCTCTTCACCATCCATCCTGATGCTGCCAATTGGTCCAGTGGTGAGAATCTTTGTCTTCTTGACATTGAACCTCAATCCATATTGGAGGCTGCAGTCCTTGACACTCTGCAGCAAGCACTTTAGTTCCTCCTCAGTTTCAGCAAGCAGGGTTGTGTCATCTGCATAACACAGATTGTTGATAGATCTTCCACCAATCATGATGCCTCATTTATCTGCATAGAGCCCAGCCTCCCGGATGATCTGTTCTGCATACAGGTTGAAAAGGTATGGAGACAGGACACATCCCTGGCATACACCCTTCCCAATTTTGACCCATACAGTGTTTCCTTGCTCTGTTCCGATGACTGCCTCTTGATTCAAATATAGGTTTTGTATTAGGACCATCAAGTGTTCTGGGATTCCCATTCTTCTCAGAGTCAGCCATAGTTTGTTATGGTCCACACAGTCAAACACCTTTGCATAATCAATGAAGCACAGATAGACATCCCTCTGGTACTCCCTGCTTTCAGCCAAGATCCATCTAACATTAGCTACAATATGCCTAGTATCACAACCCCTTCTAAACCCATCCTGGACTTCTGGAAGTTCTCTGCTGATGTGCTGCTCCAGTAATTTTTGGATAATCTTCAGCAGAATTTTGCTTGCATGTGAAAACAATGATACTGTTCTACAGCTTTCACACTCTGTTGGATCACCTTTCTTTGGAGTGGGAACAAATATAGATCTCTTCCATTTAGTTGGCCAAGTGTTCTCCAGATTTCTTGGCACAACTTAGTGAGCATGTCCAGGGCAGCATCTATTAGCTGAAATATGTTAATTGGTGTGCCATCTAGTCCTGGGAACTTATTTTTTTGCCATTTCCTTCAAAGAAGCTTGAACTTCTTCCTTCATCACCATAGGCTCTTGCTCATATGTTGTTTCATGAAATTCTTCTGTGTCTGCCAATTCCTTTCTATACAATGACTCAGTATATTCTTTCCATCTTCTTTTAATATTTCCTGGATCATTTAATATTCTGCCTAAAGCATCCTTGATTATAGCAACTCAAGGTTTGAATTTGAGCTTAAGAAATGCTGAGTGAGTTCAGCCGTTTTGATTTTCTGACTCCAGCTCCTTGCACATTTCATTGTAATATTTTACTTTGTCATCCCATCCTGCCTTTTGAAATCTTTTGTTCAGCTCTTTAGTATCTTGAATTCTTCCTTGTGCTTTGGCTTCTCTGTGCTCCAGTGCAATATTCAGAGTTTCTTCTGACATCCATTTTGGTCTTTTCTTCCTCTTCTGTCTTTGTTATGAATGTTTGCACTCTTCTTGAAT